TTTGCTGAGTCGTATGTGTATCACAAATTCGACTTTATCTTGAAGTATGAAAGTTTAAAGTTCCATAATGTTGTAAGTAGATGCGACCTTCTGTTTTTCAACTTTGCATGATACCCGGGGCATAACCAATATTAAAAGAGGGGTATATTTTTTTATTAAAAATCATCGTTTAGCGCCTCAGCAGCGATAATAGGATTTTTGATCGGTGTTTGTTTTGTATGGTAATGTAGGGTTCGGAATTAATGAACTCTATCTTTCATTAATATATTGTTTTGATATGTATGATTAATAATCGCACTTTTTTTGTTTTGATTAGACATAACAATCGATGGCGTGTGTCAGGCAAACCCACCATTGCTTTTTTAAGATGGATAAATTGTATTTGAAAAAAAGAATTTGTCTGCCCCATTCCACTATCTATGCCTATTTATACAGTGTTCGGAATTTACTGGGGTTTCCTTATAAGTTGCATGTACATATTACTTTTAAATTATTTCATATATTATATAGAGCGTGGGATAAAAAATGGACACTTGAAATAACAAAATGGACTGGAACTTCTGTAAAGAGATGTATAAGAATTTTCAATTCTGTCTCATTTTTCAAGACGTTCATTTTTATATCAGATATTATTGCGCTGAAAAGCTTCATCAAAAATCTTATTCTCGGAAAATGTGACGAATTCTTTCTGTCTTCTTTTTCTTTTGGTGCCATTGCATTACTGGATGTTGCAGTCTGGTGAAGCGTATCTTGCATATGCAGCAACTCTTCCGCAGTCGCAATACCCGTCCACTTCCTAAAGTTACGCACCCATGAGATTTTCCTTCTACCAACACGCCGTTTACCCTGGAGTTCATCCATCATAATTAATTAAAGGACGCACCTTGTCCTTTACAAAAAGCAGGAATTTCAAGACGAAGATGCATTTTGTTTTTACTTAATAATGATGCCACTCTTATTAATGAATTGATTCTTTAATTTCATTTAACGACAAAGGAGTAAACATTGCGTCATGCAAGCATACCTACTCGTACCTACTCGTGCATTAACGTACCTACATAAAAAACTAAAGCGTTATAACCTTTTAAGATTTTTGACACAGATTTCTGTATTTGTGATCATTTGTTCTTATAGGCTAAGCCTTCTGTCCCCGATAAACGTTGACTTGTTGGGTTTCCTCGCGATGTTTTCCTTCACCGTATGACCGAGTGCATAGGAACAGGAAGTACACAGTGCAAAAATTGTTTCTATATATCTTTATTATGCCTACCTTTAGTTGAATTACCAAATATTTCCTTAATGTTTACAATGTAACAACATAAATTTACTGGCCTTTGATTGACAAGGCGTACCAACATATTAAATTTTTTAAATCCTAATTAAAAACCGCCCCAGAACTTAGCAGCGAAGGTACTTCTTCGATATCCGCCGATAAATTTTGTTTTGTTGGGCACAGTCAAGTGAAGCAAGTCTGATAAACTACTTAATGAATGATACAGGATTTTAAAACAACTTCTAATACTTATACATAATACAGAACTACATAGGCTTCCCATAGCTACTAATATTTTATGTTGACTCTACACTCTATGATTTTATAACGAATGAACTCACGACAATAGAAACCTTGGAATTTAATAAGCACAAAATGAAATTCAGCGCATCACTCGCTTTAGTTGGGGGAAGGGGGGAAGGTATTTTAAAATGAAATACCGGTGAGAAGTGCTCTCGGTGTAATTGGAGCCGGCTGTAGAGCCTTTGTGAACGGAGATATAGCTCCGTTTCATACTCTGTGCATGTGCTATCATAGTCTGTGCTTTACATCTAACGTATAGACAAATATTGCTGCATCTGTTTCGTAATTTTGAATAATGAAAACTTTAAATTAAGAACACAAATTAAAAACTATTGACAACAGTTCAAAATTTATATAATTATAGGTATTAAATGTCATAAAAGGGTATAATATTCTAAATTTTATATATAATTTATTAATTTGGAATAAGTTGATCAGTCATGTCATTCTTAAACAATAATAATAGTATTTTAATTATAATTTTTATAAATCTTTTACTGTTAAATATCGTAATTTTTGATGTTGTTTCTTCTATATGTAGTTTTTTTTTAATATGTTATAAGTGTAAATAAAAAATATTTTATAAACGAGTTAGTAATTCAATTCAATCTCAGTATCGGCAAAAACAATCATCTTTAATTGTCTTTGGTATTTGTAAGTAAATAAAAACATAAACTATTTCACTTTTCACGATTGACCGTTTTAATTGGAGGGTGAATCCATCAAAGTTTGTTTTTTTATATCAGTCAAAACTAAAATAGGTGGGTGATCAATAAAAAATATTATTGGTAAATGTCAGCCGGCGCCTTTTTTGTTTTATTTGGACGATCACAACCCCGTTGAAAAGGTGTTGCTTCATTTATTATCTGTAGGTACACTTGAAAATAATTGTATTTTGAGGTAATATGTTACCTACATACACTAGTACATAGACTAGAGTTGGCCTAGTCGCTGAAGCAAATCGTACGTTCAAAGTTGTTTTTAAGAAAGTGGTTAAAGATATGTAAGAGATAGTAGTAGTACCTATGGGAATCGTGTTTTCTTTCAAAAATTGTAAAAACGAACGAAATATAAGTGAAGCCATAGAATAAGTTTTTAATTTATTCATTTAATTTGTTAGTTCGACTATGGATGCAAGTCCTTCCGCCGAAATAGGTAATGTCAATATAATATATTGTCTAGGTACTGATACATATGGTTCTATTTATTGCAACCTTTGCTTAGATATAATAGGAATATCTAATGATTAGGTACTTATTTCAGTTACGTTTTAGCTAAACCAAATTGTTTCTGTGGTCTAGAAACAGTTAAAAGTTTTTCCCTATTTTAAACTATGACAAATGTGTATGGCAAAACAAAAAAGGTAGGTTAACACCAGTGTTCAAAGCGGTTCAAAGTGCAATTTTATAATCTACCCTGAACTATGCACAGTAAATTTAATTTAAGATAAGACAAAAATTAAGATTGTAAATGATCTTAGTACCTACCATGTACCAATTAGAATGCAACTTAATGTAGTAATTTAAAAATAAATTTAATTTTTGAAGTTATACTTCTTTAGGCGCGTTATGAAAAATTTATGAGAGTGAAATTTTACGATGCGCGCGCACCGTGACACAAAATTATCAGTATGGGCGCCGAGCGTGCGCGAGCGAGATGGGATTACCTAAGACAATCTACAAGTAAAAAGAAATAGAATATGCGTGACGTTAGCAGCTATGCCAAGAATTTTGAATGACCATAATGACATTTGTAGTAGGTACCTTTTAAACAAATAAAGGAGTTTTAATTATTTTTTCAAAGAAATTTAGCAATGCTTTTTCACAAAGACCTATTGTTACTTAGTTAAAAGATTATGAAACATACCTATTACCTAGTTATTAAATTGAATTAATAATATAATAAATAATTATTATTATTAACATTAATTAATAATTGAATAATATACTAAATATTAAATATTGTTAAATTATTAACGCTAAATATTTATTTTTAATTATTTAATATTTAAAAAAAATAAAGAAAGCCAAAGAAGTATAACTTCTTACGCGCGTAGGTACATAAGTACACGCACCATTTTTTTTGTTTATAAGAGATATGTAATTTTATTATATTATGTAATACGTACCTACTTAGTGATTTATTTACCTATATAAAGACGAATTTGTACTCTATTATTTCGACCCAAGGACTCGTTGTATGGTCCAACTAAATAGGCTCAACTGCATTAAAACGCATCTGACTTATTATTTTTTATTTTACTGCGTTTCGGGTGTATTATAGTCTGTGTACTGTGTGACGACATCTATAGGTATAGATAATTGTAAAGTCATGAAATGAATATGAATCCCGTGAAGTCCCTTGTTTTATTTGGGTTCATGAAATATTTGTATTTTGCTTTTAGAATAATATATTACAAATTCTCTTAAAATAAAATTATTTCCTTCAATCAACGAAATTTTTAAAAAATCATCCACATTCTTTATTCAAAGGAGTCCGTAGTCGGTTACAAGAGATCGCACTCAGCCGCCGCGGACATTCGCCCTTGTCCACTCCTTATACCTAGCTATACATTATTTGTTTTTTCCATTACATCCTCACGCCCTACCTATACGTATAATAATTCAATATAGTCCAGCCTCAATGCCTTCAAGTGATTTTAGCGCGCTCCTATTGGCCAGCTGGTTCGCTCCAATTTCATCGATAACGAAAATCCACGGTAGACAAAGATAGATATACATCTAAGCACATACAAAACCTCATACATTGAAAAGGGACAGCTATACCACAGTCGGCTCTTGAATATTGCATGAACCCGAAAACGCTGTATCAATAATATGTGCACGAATGAAATAATAGATTATTCGTTTGTTCAAATCGACCGTAAACAAAATGTAAGCATCCATTACTGATGTCGCTATAGAGTGAACGCGGGATAGGGATTACGTGTAAGTTAGAAAGAGATGCACACAGTTTTGAAGATTCGCCGTCGTATGGATGGTGGTACAACAATATGCGCGTTATCTGTTTTTGTAGCAGTCGTCGACGGGTTTTCACATTAAACGATCATTTTAAGGGCGAACCAATCAAACTGCAAATTTATACAAATTGATACTAAACGGGTTATATTAATTTTATAACAAAAATTAAGTGTGTAAATAAGTTTGAGCGGAGTCGTAATTAAAACTAATTGGGTGTAATATAGCGATAATTATTTTGTATTAAGGCGGCTTTTGACAGTATTTTGCTCTTTTCGAGTGTGACTTTTTTTTAAATTTGGAAATCGAAAATGCATTTCGGTGTGAATTGTGCGTGAGTGTGTGGATTTTGGACAGTGGTCAAGTGAGCTGCAACGATTGGTTTGTTGTGGTGCCCGGAGGAAGATGGCGGTATAGGGCGAGGCCAGGTCTGGCCTTTCGGGGCCATGCTCAATAACCTTACCTCTACGGCATTAGGAGGTAAACACTTTTATTTAATTAAATCAGTTTTCCAAACTGTAAAAACATTATGGCGACATTTATTTAGAACCCATATCACGATGTCCACATCTCATAGATATAAGTATTATAATGTCGTGCGTAATAGTAGCAATTTAAAAAAAAATTTACATGATGACGTCATCTATAAATCAGCGATTCCACCGATATTGACTCACACTTATAAATTCCTTCTACTATAATTTTCTAATGTCGCAGATTTTAAAAGAATTGTCGATAAGTCAATCTAGTTTTATAACGGACACATCTCTGGATACGTAATAAAAATCATATTCCAATATGTTCATTATATATATATATATACAGTTTCTTTTCTGATAAGTATCCTGATTTACATAATTTAAAATTGATTTTATTTCTTTGTCCCTAATTTATTGTTTAAGTAGCAAATACGCACGTACCATTCTCCAATATGTATACATCAGTCGGCTTGCCTGAATTAGTAATTAGCTCTTTTTCTTCTAAGGGCCAGAATTATGCAAAACACATAGGTACAATACAATCCCGGGTGCTTAGGTTTCTCTTGTCATTTCGATTTAAATAGAAAATGTTTCCTAACATACTTTATAGAAAATGCTTTGTGCTAGAAACTACTAAAACTTGTGTTACATTTGTTTAATAGGTAGGTATTAAAAACAGCAATGACTAAATGTAAGGCTGTGTGTTTAAACGTCTGCTGTGCACGTTGTGTTCTTTCTACGCGCGCAATTTACACTTGTGGTCCGTACCAAACATCTCGAGGAAACCTTTTTTATATGATACGGGGCTAAACGAACCTACGGATAGGTCATAAAATGTAGCGTAGGATTTTAAGGACATCTTCTTCCTATCCGGTACACTCTTGACAGAGCGGTCGTGATCGCTATGAAGTAGTGGTAATAGAAGGAGCAGATGTGATGCGCTTCACGACGTTTCGCCATCGTTTAAGGACATACCTTTTAATAAAAGTTTCGAGGTCCAGGAATGGCCTCCACTGGAAGTCGATTTCACAGCTCGCCATTCACAAAACGAAGTGCCTAAAATGCGGACTGTGGAAGACTTCCAGCGAACGAGGTGGTGCGGATGAGACTCAGTGCGAACTATGACATGTACCTATAGAATAAGTTTTGATAGATACGGGAGTCATATTTAGCGGAAGTCGTATGCTTCTAAAAAGCACCGACGTGGCACGCACCAGACCACCTTGGTCGGTCTTAAAGATAAATGATAAATAAGACAAAATTAAAAGTAGAAGTCTATGATGAACTGCTATGATGGATTATAGCGCCACTGATTATCGCTAGAAAGCGCCAATTTAACTATAGTCAACCAGCAATAAATACGAATTTGAAAATGTTTTCACGCGAAATTTTCTACCAAGCGTAAACCCTCATAAAACCGGCAACTTGACTTTATTATTACTATCTGTTTTATCTACATCGCTATAGTTTTCCTTGAATGAGAAAATTTGGGTTTGTGGATCATCCTAATTCCTGTTGTACATCCTACTTATTTCTGTAAGTAACTCCATTAAAACGCCATGCTCGTATAATATTTCTTTAAAACCATAATTTAATATAAATTTGATCACATTAAAATATCATCTAAAGTTTTGATTTGAGAGGTAAATTCTCGTGTAAAATGTAGAACTCAAGCTTAAAACTATTGAAATCGTTGAGATCTTTTTCACTGTTTTCATCCACACCATAACTGAACCTTATCAAAATACCAAGTAACACCATTAAGCCAAATGACTTAAGAAAATCGTCAAAGTTTGGCCATTTCCACGGCGCGTAATCTTCATGGAACTCTGAATTTTCTATTTGCGCCCAAATGTGGTTATTTCATTAGCTGTTTGAATATTCTGTTAGAAATATTTGTTTTGGATGACGTTGATGTTATATTTTGATAATATACATTTAATTATTGGACTAGAATTTAGTATTTATTATATTTCATTGTTTAATTCTAATAGCTAATTGCTCAGTACATATTAATAGCCACAATAGTATAATAATAGAAGTTAAATGTAAGAAATTTAATAAAACACCTATTACAATCCAAAGAACCTTTGCCATCATAGCAAACAAAAATCATAGGAAAGTTGAAAGAACATAATAAATTTCAAAGTCTAAATCTAATGTATTCTTTGAATGCTAATTAAACTAAAAATAATGTATAATTTTTTATACGTCTATAAAATACATTCAATGGCACAAATACCCTTTAAAAAAAATCAAGATCATTAAAGCAATGTTTAATTAATTATTATTACTTATATTGGTAATGGTCGAATCAGCCTGGAGAATATTTTTTTTTAATACCTGTCACGGAAGCGACTCTGACTCTGCGAAGTGACAGGTCAGCAAGCAAAAGTCTAAACGCCTTGTCTGAAAGATAGTCTGAAAAACCCAGTAGCGTACCAAACTTCTATTTGTATCTGTTCCGTGAACATATATTTTCTTAAGCAAGTAGGTAATCAGCCTTTTGTGCCTGACGCGCCGTCGGTTTCCTCACGGTGTTTGTTCATCGTACAAGCAAGTGTTAATTGCGCACATAGAAAGAAAAATGCATTAGTGCGCGGTCGTGAAGCCCACGCTCAAGTATCAGGCCAATACTGTCTGCCGAGAAAACTGACTTAGAAGATCAGAATCGCAAGGCTGTTCTAAAAATAAGTTGCTAACGCCGGTGTCACGTACTCATTATAACTTAATTCACCATTCAGCAAATGTCACGCAGGTCACAAAGAGTGCGACAGCAAGGTCGAACTGAAGCCGAACGTGGAGCGGCATCATGCCGGCGGAGCACGGCTGCTTGCTCACTCCATACGACAAGATCACCTGCAAGGTAGACATCATCCTTTACACTTTAGTGCTAACACCACATCATTCTATGAACACTTTATACAAAGAGATTATGGCGAGTATATACGCACACGTATTCTAATGCACAGCGGTGCCTTTAACGCAAATAAATTAAATTGTATAAATATACATCTAATATTGTAAGTACAATTATAATTTAAGTTTGTTGTGGAAGAACTGGGACCGATTTGCATTTATAACAAATAAACATAAATCTTATTTTATTATATATTATGGGGTGTCAGTCAGCTAGTTTGTCAAAGACACCTTGAAAAGGCTATCGGAATAAGGAATTGATCCTAATATTAACCCTTAATAAACAGCACATATTTAATTTACAATTGGTTATTTTAACATATTAGGATTATCTTCCCCAATATTTTAAAGTTAATTCGTATTAATTTATTGATATTTATTTACATACCTTATATTAATGTAAATTTATTGTTTACTATATACCTACCTACAGAATAGTCCATTATTTTTTTTTTGGAATCACTGTAGGTACTGCTGTTTAGTAAAAATGTACTGAAGATGTTCGAAAAGATATTCCATCACGTTGAATGGAACAAACAGAGATAAATAATTACGAATAATAAAACACTGTTTTTCTTATATTTAATATCCTATTAAATTGCAGGTGGTATACATCAGCAGCACAGCGGGCATATGTCGACAGTGCCCGTCAGTATGTCTTCCTCAGCATCCGATAGCGACAAACCAGCTAAGCAAAAAAGGCATAGAACGAGGTGAGTCCTATTATAACTTTGTTAAATATATACTAATGCAGGTTTCTCTAAAGTACCTACTAAGTCTAAAAAGAAATATAGTAGGTACCTAAACGTCAAACGCAAATGAATCTAATTCAAACCGTATCAATTCAAACCGTATCAACCGTAACCGTTCAATTTTAACCGTAATATAGAAGTTACGGTGTTCTTATATTTCATGTTAGGTTAGGTTCGTTCTTATCGTTAGTGTTTTGAACTTAAACTGATTTTAACACTGCGTTTATTTGAAAGATTATTGTTAGATCATTTGTGAAATAAATAGTGTTATAGTTTGACGAATTAAAACAAATAAAGCTGAGAACAACGAAATATAAAGTCCAAACTAAATGGGATGTGACTTGTTTAGGACGACATTCATAAGAACCGTGTAGTAAAAGTGATTTATTTATTCATGTACAGATTTACACCGGCACAACTAAATGAGTTAGAGCGGTGTTTCACCAAAACACACTATCCAGACATCTTCATGAGAGAAGAGATCGCAATGAGAATTGGTCTGACGGAGAGTCGAGTACAGGTAAGCTTTTAGAGAGTAAACTATCCATGATTTAGATAATATGATTCTAGTGTCAAACCGTACCCCGCTGGACACCACTTGTTTTTGTTAGTAATGAAGATGGAAGTAATTTTTAATACTCGAGACAATATTGATCTGATATACGATTTAAAATGCGGATCAATGAATCATTTAGTACTGCAAATTCTTTAATCATACAACACATACAATTTCTCAACTACAGTTTTGCTAACCACTTTTTACTTTTAAGTGTCCGTCATGTCAGTGTAGAAGTCTTATTATAGGCAATATTATTACTTCTCAACCATTCACAATGTAGTAGTTTTAAATGATTGACCCCTATACAAACATTGAAACAGTTGCCTGTTACAATTTCTTTATTCGATTTAAAAAACTAAAAAACATCGGCCCCAATGGTTCACCTTGCGCGAGTCCCTCTTCGCACATCGCATACAAAACTTGCACTATACTGATACATTTCACAAGACCTTCTACCTGATAAAGCCTTCATATTACTTATAAATGGCATTTGTACCGATGTGTTTTAACTTATGCGTTCGAGGTGTCGAATATGGGTGGTCGCGTGATTTCTTACCACACAAAATAGGAATTGTTGCTAACTTGTTATGATTTGAGGTTAGGCAAATATACATAATATATTTGATTCTTATAATCATAGATTCAAATAATATATTGGAACTGTATTATTTATATTATATTTTTAATAAATCTCATACAAATAAGGGATGTATTTATTAATTATAGTTATTAATATATAAGCCGGTTTAAGTAAAAAGTAGATTAGTTTTACTATGATTTATTGTTTAGTCTCCTAAGCCTTCAAGTACTCAGGCTTTAGTTACTACTAGAAACGATTAATATGGCTTGACCTCATTTATATGCCTCTACGCAGATTTTGCCGAAAATGAAAGAAACGGCTATATAAACATTACGAAATATAAGTTATGAAAGGAGGTTAACTTAGTGTTTTCTGCGTGGTACTCTTATCCCTGAGGCCGTATGTTCAAACGCTGGCGGTGCACCTATTGTCTGGTGACTGTCTATGTACGAATTTAATGCTCGCTCCTACGGCGAAGAAGAAGTTCGTGAGGAAAGCGACATGCTTTAGACCCAAAATGTCGACAGCGTGTGCCTACCTACTTGTCTATTAAGAAGAATAGATCACGGGACAGTCACAGAAATCTGAGGCCCAGACCTAAAAGGATGTAGCGACCTTTTTTAAAATAGATATCAGTTGTTTTTTTTCTATGTTTAGGAATGTTAAATTCCTTAGTATTCACTATTCAATGTCACGAAATTCCTCATTCCACATAATTTTACAATACAAATATTTAGGTTTAAAAACTGTGTTACGGTAGGAAGGCCTGTATAACAAACCACAAACTATATTATTTTAACAATACAAAAATCAGCGCAACATAATTAGGAAGACAAAGAGAAAACTAAGTAGTTTATTACTGATGTGTTCGATACCCTTTCTTATACATGGAAAGTAGAACCAAATTTGTATTGCAGCTACAGAGCTTGATAGGTTAGTACGTACCCCGATAAAAAATTCACCGCTAAAGAGTTGACACATAGTATTGATTCATGTTATTATTGATGTTAATCGTCTAATTCTGTCCGCGGCTCGCTAACAGTTACTTTGTGGAATCACTTAGTTTCAAGTTAAACAGTACTTTGCATTGGATATTAGACTTAATTTGTGCCTTCAAATATTTGTATTTCGTTAACGCGACAGCCGGTGTCTTTACTGCTTCCTAATCAGATTAGTTACACGTTAATACTCTATTTACGGTTTTCTAATAGCCGTTTCTTTCATATAGGTCTCCAAGTCTTTTTTGATGTTTAGTTGTTTGTTTTGGGTTCAGCTTTTTAACAAAGTCTAGATGTTCGAGTGTATTTATGTTTTTATTACCATTTTCAATAACTTTTTAATGTGAGAATTTATTTTGTTACAAAATAACTTTGTTAAGACATTTGTTGACATGCGCCTTAAATGTAAGGTCACCTGATGAAAAATCAGATACATAAGGATCCATTCATATAAATATTTCTTTATGGTTATTATTTTTTTATTTTTAAAGCTGTAAACTTTACTTAATATATGTTTTATTTTATTAATACGCTTCTACAATAGGATTTTATTCCAATTGAAATTAGTGAAATAAACATAAAATCCAATCCAAAAGAAGCTTCGATCATTTAAGTACCGCCAAGTAAAATAAACAGGCCGATACACAAACAGACAAAGTTGTGAGATTTCGTGAAACTTGCCCGTTCCCATGTTTGGTTTGGTTGGAGGCTGTATGTGGTGAACAAATAGCTACATGATCGCAAATACTAGCTTCACAGTGCAAGAATGGAAACTTTTTTTGGAAGCTTACAGTGTTTAATTGCTAGAGATAAAGAATATAGTAGGTATGTTTATTTCTTAGGCTACTCATTTACTAATTTCGATTGCGTTGCCATCTTCTGTCCTGTGTCTCTGCGACACATGTACGCCTTGATTTTATACTGGATATTGGATATATTTGTAAGGTCGTTTATGGACCTCACGTTTGATTTTTCACTGTGCTAATTATTTTTTACATATACGGATTATTTCGATTAAAACAACTTAATTTAATTTATTTAATTTATTTTTATTAAAATTTCAACATAGACAAATTCTTTAAATTTTTTTATAGAAATAGATCTGGATACTGGCTTATTATATAATAATAGACCAAAGTTTAGAACCATACTGAAGTTTATTTAAACACCTGGAAGCACCGATTGCCCTTACTCCGTGCGTCATACGAAGTAAACGGTTGTAAACTTTAATGGTACATCCGAAAGCAATTTACTTGAAGCGACAATTGACTCCCGAAAACAGAAGCCTCGCCTCACACGTATAAGTATAAGGTGTTTTCACACTATCGTAAATGGTTAAGATGTAAGGTTTAGCTTTTATATTTAAAGACACTAGGACTGTGAGCAAAGTTAAAGTAAGTAATAAAACTACATTTTAAACGTAATTAAAAAGAACAACATCAAATATCACTTAATATTATTGACTTATAAGCGATAAATGATATCTTAAAAATAACTGAACCGATTTTGATGAAACTTGGACTGTTCCTTTAGTTGGAACTTACCAGGATCATGTATATGACTTTTAGTTACCGGGAAATAGGTGAAACATACGCTAATGAAATTAAACAAAAATAACTATTTCAAGTCAGTTTACAACAGCTACTGTTCTGAGGTGCTTTATATTATAGTGTTAAAAAAACTATGCAATGTAATGCTATACCTACACTCGACTACTCCAATGTTTTTGACTGTTGCGCTTCAGCAAATCCGACGACACAAAAAACTAAAATATCTTAGATTACAAGTCTAATCTAGTTAAGTTTCATAATTTTTAGTCCGTCATGCGTCAATGCGGATGCAATTTCTCATAATAATATTTAAATCTATAATAATTTAGTATGCACCAGTGTGTAGGTCTCTAAAAGCAATTTTTTGTCGATGTCTTCGCGCCACACTGCGAGATTCTTACTTGGATTTATTTATTTTTATATCGCGTGAGTCCGTGTGATACCTGCACTGTTTACTTACGTTTAGACCTTTTGTACAGACAACCGCAGACGCTGTATGTACTTAATTAACCGTCTCTATGACTCTGTGGTCAATAACATAATTTAAAAGTTGTAAAGATTCTACCCACTTCCATACTGAAAATCCTTCCATTTTTAAATAATAATATGTATTTTCATTTATAAAAATATATTTTTTTTTAAAATGGGAGATGTTTTTACATAATTTCCTTTAATATTTAAGATTTCCTATCTTCGAATGTAGTTTATGATTTTTTTAAAATTAAGTATGAAAATTTAACAATATTGCAATGTAGTGCAATTACAAATTCATGACGCCTCGCCCCATGGCATCGAATATAAACATAAAAAAGATCGCCCTCCGACCGTGATTCTCACTTTGTTTACCAAATCCTTTCATTATGAAAAAGATAAATGGACATAGAGATGTGCAAGTATCGATAAAACTATATTAATTTAATCGATTTTTTTTTACAAATAGTACTTTATGAGTACTAAAACAGTACGCCTTATATCCAGAATAAGATAACGATTTCTTATAGAAATAACTGTAAATCTCTGATCGTCATAAAAATCTACGATTTCTAGTGCTTATTAATAAATTATTGGGTATAAAATTAAAATTAACAAAGACAACTAGTACGCCACGATGCGCAAGCGACCTGTGTCTCTGGTAAAGCTCGTGCGGGGAAGCCCTAACAACATGCTGGCTGGATAGCGGGAAGGCTAGATTGCCCTTACATGGGTCATTGAAATGGGTTGCATGTGCCCTTTTTAATTGATATGTATATAATATGATTAAATATACTCTAAGCTAACATACTAATATAATATTAAGGACAATATTGTATGGTAATAGCGGGAAGGCTGGATTGCCCTTACATGGGTCATTGAAATGGACTGCATGTGCCCTTTTTTAATTTTGTGATTAAATATACTAATAAGCTAACATATTAATATAATATTAATGACAATATTGTAACTAACACAATAATAAAATTATGGACTTATGATTGTCTAATTGAATAAATCAATATTTTTTTAAATTATTATTATTACTAGTAGTTAAGTACCACGAAGTTATAAAAGCTTTGGTAAAATTCACACATTTTAGTGTGTTACGTGTAAAATACATGTTGGTCTTTTATTTAATTTTAATAATAATATCAGAAGTCCATTAGATAAAAGCAAAAAACACAACATTAATGGAAATACCTCTATTACGAGTAATAAACACGCGTGTTAATAATAAATTAGATTTATCCTCGCTAAAAGTAGTTTTGTGTCGATGCATTTTATACTCGACACCTGTACACGAGAACAGTTTCTCTGGCACGTTAATTATTCCCTCATTTCACTGATTTTTCACTCACAGGTTAATTGTTT